AAGCGGGTGAGGCGGCCATGTTAAGAGTGGGCAGCGAGCCTGAGGGAGGTGTGAGGCAGGAGGCAAGCAGTCGTGGTGAGGCAGGCTTTCCCTCTTACTACGGTCCGAGAAACAAAGCCGTCCCCACTTAAACAGTATCTCACGAGGGCCCTTGGCGTGCAGCTCTGTGAGACTCGTGTGCTGAGCCCCGGGGTAGGGTGGGGACAGAGGGACAGGGTGACAGCCCTGTGGGCATCTGTGCCACAATGGGCCCCACCACCCTCTGTGCGCATGAGGTGGCCAGGGAGGCCTGGCAGGGCACAGCTGCTCTCCCTAGCCATCCTGTCACCTTTGGATGGGGCAGAGAATCGGTTTAAAAAGCTCCAGACTAGGAGCTCCTGGACCTCTCCCATGTCCTTCCCATAGCTGCACACCTCAGAAAGCGGGAAAACCAGAAAATACCCCAAATTCTGTTGCCTTGCAGTAGCAGGTTGAGTGGTTATCAATTGTGCAAGATACAAGACCCTGGGAGCTTGGACCTGGGTTTCAGCCATGAAGATAGATAGGAAAGCATTGAATATGAAGTTTCTGGACTAGTCAGGACATGTGTCAAATAACGATACCTAAATTGTGTACCTGAGTGATATGCAGGATTATGGGAGGTAGTTTTTGAAGAGGAGCATAAATAGGTGTAAGAGACTGCAAGCTCTGTTATAGCTGCAATAAATTTGAGCCAGGGACAGCCTTAAGAAGGTATCAGAAAGATTACTGTTTTCATCTGGAAAAGACATGGGTCTGGAGCAGGGATCAATTTCAGTTGCCTGTACAGAAATGGCTGTTGATTGTCTGTTAGGAGATATTACATAGAAGAGACATTACTGAAATATTCTGCAAATTTTGTAATGGTATTTTGTAACAGTATTCTGCACCTTATGCAAATTCAAAATCAAAATTGATTTTTCCTGAATGCCTAATGTTTAATCCCACTTTTCACACTGGGTTATTTATTAACACTTGGTAAACAAAGCATTATATATTTATGCATATCGTTCAGATTGGAAACTTACTTTTTTTCCAAAATGGAAAACCATCTATTGCTTTGTATTTTAGTATTGATTCCTGCCTTTGCATCATCAGATTTTTTGGTAACACATGCCAGAAACATCAAGGTAAGTAATCAACCATGTATGGGGCTCCCATTCTTCTTAGATTAACCTCCTGCCATTTATCAACATTTATCAGAGAGTTCATACAGTGCTGCCACCAGGAGCTTTGTGTTCTCTGTTGCCAGTGAACACAAGATCAGACTTGGGACTCCGACTAATTTACCTCTAATCAGCCTCCATTTTGAATCAGTTCTGAAGAAGCTCTCCTATCTCTTTTTTTTAAAGCATCATCACTTTCCTCTTATTTTTCCTGTCATCACCACATAATGGTAAATGTTTTAGTGGTCCTATATTTAAATGTGTAAAACAATCGGTGCTGCCAGGGAACTGACTTCAGCACCTGTAAAACAATGTGAAATATCAGCAAAAAGGTGCCTCCAAGAAGTAGAAAACAGATATGTAACATGGCAGCCAGATAAATATGTCCACTATCCAAGTGACATGGTAGGATTTTTCTCGAAAGATTTGCATGTTAGCATAACATGAAATACATCTTTGTCCCTCAAAGGGGCTGTTCTGGTTTTGACTGGATCTCTGAGTAAGACACTGCTTCCCGATGTTCTGCCTAATTTTCTTCAGTTAAGTTGCCAGCCATTACTACTCACCTCAATAAATTATTTTCCTCACTCTCAGTAGTTACATACTATGAAAAGTTACAGAGGGCAGATCTCTTTAGGGAGCATTGTAGGTTAGTGGGTGGAACAGGACAAAGCAATTTATAGTCAGTTTCTGTTGATTAGGTTATGGTCTTTGCTAAGACATTTTCTTTGAAAATCAGTATAATAACATATCTAACTTCGAAAAATCAGCTTGAGATTTATTGCTGCAAATTGGAGATGCCATGGATTCTTATTATTTAACCATTATGTAGCCCAGATATAATGTAGCTTTTTCCTCCTGATTACCATACTACCTGTTGTTCTCTGTGTGTCTTGCAATGCTAAAGCCTTTCTGAATGGAAAATGGTCAAAGCTCTGTTCAGTGCTCCATCTGTACATGCAGAACACTACAGAAAAGTCAAGTTATTCTCCCTTTTTTTTATATACTTTATGCAAATGTAATTTGATTGAAATGGAAGAAATTGCTCTTCAGTATGAACGTCTCAGTCCCTGTCCCTGTCTTAGCTCCTCTAAGCAAGTAGTAAGCCAGTGAGGAGTGATGAAGCATGGCTGGAAGTCTGTCTGGCTGATGACCTTCAAGCTGTCAAAGCTGCTTTTAAAGCCAGAATCAGGTAAACACAATTGGCAGACCCAATTCTGCTGAAAATTGAACAAAAATCCGAATCAAAGATCCCTAAGTGCACTTGTACACCTTGTTCCTACGCAAGCAGCTACTAAGGGTGGGAAGTTTTTTTCTAGATTAAAAACTACCCTTAGAACTACACAGGTAGTAATGATACAGTGTTCTTTTAATAGCCCTCTCATTTTTGCAGCAGCAGGACTTCTACATAGCTCACGAGGAAGTTTTAGTTTTCATAGCTTAGCTGCATTATGGTGATTTCTTTTATTTCTAATGACCATCACTCGGGATGGTGAAATCTTTAATGTTGCTGTAGATTTGGAAATAATTTTCATGTGTTATTTTTCCTAGTAGCACTTAGGGATATAAGCAAGTATCTCGTTATGAATTCCTGGAGGTCACTTCAAGTTAACTGTACAGTCTTTGCTGAATCTTTTAGTCATGCTGTGTTTTAGTTTCCCAAGCTGTAAAATCAGGGCTTCTTTCAGCAAGTACTGTAATGGG